TATAGATCTCCTCTTACTACTATCCTTGCTTTACACTTAATTAGGTAACTATCCTAATTAAGCTTGTATATAAACACCTATTTAAGTAGGAGTAGATGCTCTCCCTTATTTAGCCTATTAATCTCCTCCTAGGTACTAGCGTTTAGTAGAGTATTAATTTCTTTATATACTACGTCTCTAAATTACTATCCTATTTAGTAGTTATAGAGATCCTTCTATTATTTTAGCTCTTTTTATAGAGCGTCCTAGTGCGTATTTCTTTTAGGGTTTTTAGGAGATTTACTCCTTATTACTACTATAATTATAGCGTAGATTATAGCGTTTAGTTTAGGATATACTAAAAGATTATATAAGGGATTTCTAATTAGATTTATATCTAATAGATCTACTACTGGATATATATCCCTATACTTATAGAGCCTCCTAGTAGTTTATTAGGGTCCTGTCCCTAAGCTTGCTTACTAACACACGTTAGTAGTAGTCCTTTAACTTATAGTTTTCTACTTCTTCTAGGAGCTCTAGGTGCTGCTTATAAGGGATCTATAGGAGATACAGAATCTAGTCCTAAAGTAGGTAGGTAGGAGCTCTGCTTACCACCCCTATAAGAGCTAGATAGGGTGCCCTTACTTATCTCCGTGCTCTTATAGAGTGACCTACTAATAGCACTCTCTCCTCTAGGTCTTTCCTAGGAGCTACCTATTATAGTATTAAAGTAAGTTAGATTACTACTATCTTAGGTAGTAAGACCCTAATCTATAACCTATATAGATCCTTTGTCTCCTATACTAAAGTTTAGTTCTAGTATTAGTTTAGGAGTTTAGAGCCCTATTAGCTTAGGGGACTTTATATAGATCCTTTGTACTAAGCTAGCTATACTTAGTACCTACGCTAGAGGTGTCTGCTTAGGGGGTTATAAATTACTAGGCTAGCTAGCCTAATTATCTACCTCCTCTAGCTCTACCCTACCCCCTAGCTCCTACGCTAGGTTTAGTCCTCCTTGCTTACTAGACTCCTTATATTACTCTACTATAATATAAAGCTAATTAAAGATATTAAGCTCTTTATATACTTCTCCTATATTATAGATCTTATCTTTACTAATAATATTAACTATTTTTTAAGCTTCTAACTATTAAAGCTACTCTAGATCTTTCTCTTTATAGAAAAGATCCTTATTAAAGGTAACGTTCTGCGTTATAATAATCTAATTAAGTAAGGGGATTTATATCCTATATATATTAGATACTCTATATCCCACTAGAGATCTAATATAACCCTAAGGGTTTACCTTAAAAACCCTCTTATAACGCCTAGCTGCTTAATCTCTGTTAAGGGGGTAAGCTTAATAGCTATAGGCGTATATTCTACTCTAATTAGGGCGGAGATTAGTAGTTGCCTCCCTTATCTGCTCTAGTTGCTACTACCTAAAGTATCTAGTAAACTAACAATCTAGCACTTTATTAGGTAATATTATATTATAAGCATAGGACAGGCTTATATTATAGAGCTAAGTTGCTGCTTTAATAATTTTAGGCTAGAGCTTTATTAGTAGGTTAGCTCTAATACTTATTTTAATTAATTTTGTTATAATCTCCTGCCCTACTCTTTCTACTCCTCTATTAGGTTTATAGGTATATATAGGTAAGCTCTTAATTTTAATACTATTATTAGCTACCTAGATCTAAAAGCAAGATTTGCTACACTAAGGGAGTGTTATAATATTATTATCTTGCATAATCTTAACTATACTAAGCTTATATTAGTTAAGTATTAAGCTCTTAAAATCTTTAAACACCTATATAATCTTATTAAGGTTTTTAGCTTGTAGTAGATAGGTATAAAGCTTTCCTAAGTAGTTGCACTTTAATACTAAGATCTATTACTTGTAAGCTATACCTATTAGTATGTTAAATAGATCTTATAATACCTAGTAGTATAGATATAGTAATCTTTCCCTTAGTTATCTTAATATAACCTGTTAGGCATGTGTAATAGCGCAGTGCTCGCATTTGCTCCTAGGAGTTCCTTTAATCCTAACGTTTATTACTAACTTAACTAGAGCTTTAAGTGCCTTAGGTCCTAAATAGCCTAATTATTAGTGCTAAAGCTCCTTACTATTATGTCTTAGGTAAGTTATCTAGGATTATTAGGGTTGTTTAGGCACTATGCTTTAGATTATTTAATAAGGGGTAGAGGGCTTATATTCTAGGAAAGTTAAGTTAAACTTGCGTAGTAACTTAGCTAATACAACGCTCTTTTCTAATAATCTAAACTACAAGGTAGTATCTAGCTTAAGGAACTAAACTCCTGCTTTAAGCAATTAAGCTTCTAATATAATATTTATATAAAAACCTTCTACTAATACTATATTAGTAAGCACTAAATCTTCTATTTTTAGACCTCTTAGTCTATTAAGAGTATTAGGGATTACTCTAGTCCCTCTACCTAAGATTAGAAAAGCTTAAGTTCCTACTTTAACTATCTTATATCTAACTAATCTAAACAAGCTTTCTTCTAGGTAGCTTATATTATTAACTAGGTGTACTACACCCCTGTTATTAAAGATAGTGCTCTTTAATAGAGCGTAAGCTTTAAAGTCTATAGTTAAATAGATCCTATTTATTTTCTCTGCTATTAATATTAGGTTAATTAGTGCCGCCTAGATACTACCTAGATAGGTAATCGCGCTTGCCTTACTACTATAATCTTAATTAATAGGATAGGACTTAATTAGTGCTTTTCTTAACTCTTTAAATTTTTAATTCCTATTAATCTTTTTCTTAATCTCTAATTATTAGGTAGTAGTAAGCTTATTACCTATATCTATCTAAGCTTTAATAATATTTTTATATTTAGGAGGCTTCTATAGGTAGGATCTACTATATAGGTATAAAGACTCCTTCTTAGGTTAATTAGAAGGTAGAGCTCCTATTATTACAAACACTCTAGGTCCCTTAGAGCTTAATCTTATATTATTCTCTTAGAGAAGTAATAAATAGATTTTAGTAACCTATAGGAGGTTATAAGTTAGCTCTCCTATTACTAACTTTTTAATAATCCTTTAAAATATAGTTTAACCTTAATCTAGTAAGATCCTAGTAGATAAAGCTTTAAGATAGTCCTGTACTATAAGCTATCCTTTAATATTAGGAACGTTATATACCTTAGCTTGTGTATATAGGATTATCCACTCTTTCTACTAGTAATTAGCGTCTTAGCTACTTATCTTTACCTTAGCAAGATAAGCTTTATACTATAATCTTACTAGTATTATAGCGCTTAAATTAGTTAGCACTAGGTTATTATAGAGCACTTAGATAAGTGCTTAGAGGGTTACTCTTCCTTAATTAACAAGCTCTATATAGGCTAGGGTAAGGATCCCTTAATCTACTATATTATTAACCTATATAAAAAGGTTCTAGATTACTAATAACTTTAATACCTAATCTAATAAGCAAGCTTAGTACTAGGCTATTTAGAGTTTATACTACTTGCTTATTATATTAGATAGTGTAATACCTATTAGCATGCTAGGCTTAATAGGTTTATTCTTAAAGTAATTTTTAGTATCCTAAGTATTAGGGTCTACCTCTACCTAGATCCCTTTAGTTAGGGCATAGTATCTAAATTAAATATACTAGGTAGGCTAGTTAGTTAATCTAGTAAGTAGGATATCCCTATTTAGGATTTAGTTGCTTATAGTAGAAGAGTAATAAGTAAGCTTCTGCTTAAGAAATAGTATAAAAAAAATAAAGCTTGCTAGCTTAGTATCTAAGTTAAATAATACGCTTAAATAGATAGGATAATCTTTAATAAGGTAAAGTGCAAACTAGGCTTATAACTATAGAAATTTAGATTACTAAGGTTAGGAATAATTTAGGAGATAGATTATTAGATTATATCTACTACGATTAGACTTATATATATAGAGCTTTAGCTACCCTTACTAGAAGGTGAATAATTAGTAAACCTTCCTTACTAGAGCTCCTGCTTTTTATTAGGCACTTAGCAGTAAGCTGGCAGTTGATTAGATAGTGGGTCATAAAGGGGTATTTGACCAGGATTGATCGGATCAAGATGCTCCGTGATCCAGTTGATATCCCTCCTGCAACACCTATAAAAAGGTGTCGCAATACAAATATCTTATCAATATCCCACCATATATATTAACTTGTTAGGGTGGGGTAACAGTGTTCACTTTTGCCCCATTCTTGGTTTGCGATAAAAGGCGTAGAGGGCTTCCCTCTCCTTTAAGATACTAAATACTATTATTAACGCTTATTGTATTCTCCCTTAAGGCTAGTCTATAATAGTATTGCAAATATGCAAATATATCCACAGGTACACACGTGCCTCAGCCTAGTCACTTGCGGCTGGTTACCATCAACAACTACGTCCTCTCCATCCACAAGCTAGACCTTAATATTACTGAGGTCGAATCTTGGGATTAATGATTTTGAGAGACTTCATGTTAAGTGAGCGGACCGCTATCCTTGCTGCTAAGCTAAGACAGCTTCTCCGCGCATATACAAGCTCTACGAACTAAAGCTGATCCCTAGAGAAGAGCCTAGAGGGATAAAGGGTTTTAGAAAAACCTCATAAGTGGAGTCTATATACCAATGCAAGCAACAGGCGGTGGAGATGCGCTATAAAGGAGGTAAGTGTTCCCTAGTGTTGCTGTATTGTATTTTGAATTACCCTGCCTGTCGTCTTCTCTTAAATAGTACCAAAGGCATAGTCCTACTCGCGACTATTGCTGATCATTTTGACGGTATCTTCCCATACGAATCAAGTGAATCTTTCAATTTGAGTAAACAAAGATAAGACATAGTCCGTATTTTAGTCATCTGACTACTTAACCGGACAACTCATACCGTCTCCGTTGAACTGCAGTGGGATATCCTCTAAGATCGAACTGGCGCTTATAATTTGCGTAACAGCTGTGAATTCACGATTACTTGGAGGCCCGGGATGGAAGATACATACATACTCTATTCACGATGGCGTGCATTGAAGACGCCAACATCTCGAGCCTCCAGGGCCTTCAAAGCCATCTTGCTTTCAAATATGTATTCTCTTCGAACCAGATCTTTACAGACTTACAGATAGCTGTGAAAACGCACAAACCAAATGATGCCGACCGTGTGAAAGCTCAGTTGTAGTGAAAACGCGAAATGAGCACTGTCGAGGACGCGTCTATCTTTCACCGCGACCGTCATTGTTGACGCACGTAGCGCGGGCGCGCTCCCCTTCTACTATATCACTCTTGACCTGCCTCGCTCAGAATTCTCTATACTTTTGAGTAGCTTCCAATCAACCTCAACCTCATTGTTGCACACTTTTGCCTACAAAAGCTCTTCCTGCTGGTTTAAATTCCCCAACACACCAACTCGAACGACACGAAGCATTCGCGCAAGAATTGGCAGTCAGAAGGGACGTGATTCCTGAGATTGCAGCGTTACGAGCTTTCTTTTGTCGACAGCGCATCATACCAACGCGATAGCTCGTGGCTCATCTTCTTCAATATCGGTGTCGCTCGTTCGCTATCAAACCGCCCAACCACTCGCACCGTCAGTCATATCCTCTACTCTTCACAGGGTAAACCTGATATCATCTTGTAGCCTTATCCAAAAGACTCTAATCGCCTTCGCAGGGATTCGCTGATGGCGGCCGCATGCTCTTTTTCCCTGGCTCAATGGGCACCCATCGCAATTCCCACCGCCATGTCAACAACTCACAGCGGAGCAAACACTACTGCAAACACATCCAATCCTGATCTTGTATCACCTAGCTCCATGCTTCTTGACACATTTCGCAAGGAGCCCGCCTGTCCACATTATAACAAGGACATAATTGGCTTGAAGCCTGATCATGAGGACCTTGCGATTCACCTTCTGTCAGACGCATTTGCAGTTCCTCGACACAACCCAGTATCCTCTATCGGCAACAGTATCGATGGAGATAACGAGATTGCTGATCTCAACTTTATGCATAGCGTCTTGATGCGAAAGGGTGCTGAGGATGCCGAGATCGCTTCACTGCCGCAGGTCGACGATTTCGTGGATGACAAACTTCCTGATGGTAGTCTGCGTATCTTAAAAGAGTACAACAATGCGTACATGAAGCATCAGACCGGAATACTGGCTTTTCACCTCGGGGCAGTCAATCCTGAACTCAAGCTCGAGTTCGCATACGCTGCAGAAGCCACGTCTGGGCACCACAAGATGCTCTCCAAAAAGTTCGAAGAGATATTCTTAAACCCCAAATGTGCCGAATATACCTCGGAGATGATGCAAGACTCGCAGGACCAGAACCACTCGCTGGTGTTGATTGAGGACTTGGACGAACTACCACTGCCACACGTGGAAGCCAACATAGTGCCACTCACTAAAGCGGATCTGATTGTTCGCGTTCAATTCAGTAATGATGAGCATGTCGTCTTCGTCGAAGAGGTTTCGGTCCGTGATGATTTGCCTGAGGATCCATATCTTTTCTCATCTTGCGAAGCTGGAAGGAAAGCGGCCGAAGCTCTGAAGTTGTACCAACAGGACAATGAGCAGATCACAGACAAGGTCCAGCTTGACGAAATCGAGCACCCAAAACAGGAGACTATCTCATCGGCTGCTAAACAGCTAAAAGAGTCCAATCGTCATTTGCACGAGAATTCTGGACAGAATGACTTCTTCTTAGCATGGACTTTGGTGAAACTAGAGAATTTGCGTGCGCCCAACCCTGACGAATTCTGGTGGGCATACCACCATCAACCGCATGATGTTGATTGGGGCAGCGGTATTCTTGACAACCGAGAAAACGTCCCCGCTCGCTTCGGACTCGAGGGCCCAGACATCCTTCAGGTTTGGCGAGAGGTCTTTGAAAAAGCCAACTTGGACCCCATAGATCTGTTCTCCACAGGACTTCTGCCATGCGAGGATGACTTTGGCGACGATCCCGAATACATGCAGGCCAAACTGCTGTGGTGGAAGCAGAAGATGGGAATCGATGGCATCGAAGCCATACTTCGCTACCACATTGGTCATGTCCGTGGACTGCGGCTTCCTGATACACTGGAGCACTTCCTTACCGACGAAGAGGAAGCATGGCTAAATCCGATCCCAATTCAACGCCCATACTTGTATATTCCGAGCGCGAAGCGAGTGTTCGATGGTCTACATGCGCAACCTGTTGATCCGGCCAAAGGAGGTTTCGTGGTAGTAAGCTGGCTGGACGAGGTCAATCAAGAGGAACTTATTCCAGACAATCGATTCGAGCAAGACAATGAGCAGCTGAGGAAGCTCATCGAGGACAGCGATGGATCCCTAGTAAAATATGACTGGGACTTTTGCTGGCGCTTCGCTTACAATGCCCTGATGGAGTACCAGGACTCGATCGAGCTGTATGCAGAGCCACATTGCCGCATCGAGAATTGGGCGCGTCCGATGTATTTGGATGAGCACGAGAACACATCCAATACTCCAGCAAAGTGCATTCTAGCACAGGGGGATTTGAGCGGGACAGTAAAGTCATTGCATCCTCCAGGCCTAAACATCTCCTCATCGGAACAAGAGTGCAACTTGAATGCTCTTATGGATGTTGTTGTAACAACCGTCCCTGCTGACATACAAATGAAGATGTCTGCATTATCAGAATGTCATAACCAACCTCTGGTAGATCAAGATAGGCACAAGCCCACTCCGGAAGATAGTGCTGCGCTTCACGCCTTCTTACAGCGTGTCGCATCTGAGCCTCTTCTAGCTTTATCCGACTTATCCACGATCAATAAGCCAAAAGAACAGCTTGTTCAGATCGCAACGCAGCACGAACCGACAACAGCATCGAGGCTTTCAAACCACGAAAAGAGCGTGCTCATAAGCATTTTGAACAATTTTGCATCACACAATAGTTCACGTCTAGTCCCTTTCGACCCCGAATTGCCTTCTTACTGTGGTGGTGGTGTTCCATTAGATGAGCCAGATGCTCTCACACTCCGAGGGTTGCTGCCCTACAATTTGGGGACTCGTTTGGACTTGACGCTATTCTCCCGACCTCGAAACAATGTGGAGAACAACCTCATGGCCTATCTCAGACCATAAAGGGATCGTTAGGCTTGCCCAAGACATCGCTATGTGCAACCCGGTATTGGACTCGACAGGAAGACTCGGCGGCTAAATCGCACCAAGACGGCGTCGTGTGTTGTGGATCGATGTACCGTGAGATACGCTCAGTGAATAGAGGAAGTATAGGAGGTACGAAACGGGGAGAAAGCGACGCTAAGACTTGGAGAGAAGCAGGTTGCATGTTTGCAAGTTGCTGTAGAATAAGTGTTAGAGAAGGACGTGGTGTCGTTCGAGACACCACGTTCGAGCATCGAGTCTTGAGTAATTTAGCAGTATTATCGACCAAAGACTGCGTGTGCAGCTTTGATTATAATAGACAGGCACTGTATTCACGTGAAGTATATTGCTGTGGTGGAGAGATTTCATCCAATGAAGCTGGAGACGAAGCGGTGAACTGGCTGCTAGTGCAGGCCGCGGCACCAAACCTAAACGAGCGACGATCGTCAGCTCTACTGGTTATGTCTCAGGAACGCTAGGATGGCATGAGCAATCACTGCAGTCCTATTGGCTGGAATCGATTACCTAAGCATTGCACCAACATCGGCTCTCCACAGCTTGTGGTCCGTCCCATGGCTGCAGAACCAGAGCTGGATTTATTGTTTACTCTTTTCTCGTTCTTCCAAATTCTCACCATCCTCAGTTCTGTCGAGATTGGATGAACACGAAGCACAAGACACACATAAAGACTTGCCCGCTTTCATCGCCAAAATGAGCCACCCAACCCATCCTGCGACTGTACACTTTCCTATAACCACCACCCTCCTCGCCGGCGGTCTTGACGCCGTCTACTTTCTTTCCAATAATGGTCCTACCTCGACCATTGTAGGCTCAGCCTGTAATTGACCCTTCCCAAGATTCCTTTTCATGATTCCAGCAGCTGATGCATCTATCCAGTTAAAACCCTCGATATAGCTATTAGCCCAGCAATGCTACCCCTGCTCTCCTACTATGCCACCATCCTCACTCTCCTCTTCTCCGCCCCAGCCATTGCTACCGGCGCATACGAGCTTATGCCTGTGATTCAGCGCGACGGTTTCTCGTCTAAGAAGGCAAAGGTCGGTGTGATGCATGCACTGATCAATGATCTTGGTGTTGTGGCTGCGGCGTATAATTGGTGGACTCGGAGGTCGAACCCAGGTTTCATGCCTACAGATACCAACATTCTACTAAGCGCCTTGGTGGCACTACCTGCGACCATGTGGGCGGCGTATCTGGGAGGCAGCTTGGTCTACATCCATGGGATGGGATTGAGGGGTGGACAGGCCAAGGCAAAGAAGAGGCAGTGAGGAGAGGAGTAGAGAGAAGCGTGGGATTTTTTTGTAGGAAAAGTGAGTGATTAGAGAATGATGATTGGTGAGAGGAATCAGTTCACCGGATTTTGATCAAGCTCTGATAGTCTCGATCCGTCTTGACTTCTCTTGGGTATCGAGCAGTGCGTAATACGTCAACACCACTTTGAACAGGACAAAAGACCCCCGAACTTCAATGAAGAACGTTCACTAAATTGTTGTCCACTTCTGCCATCTAACTTGAATGGATTGCGACTTTTGTCTAAGACAAGCTCATCGTACCAGCAGCATATCGGGAGCTTTGGATCACGAGTTTACTCACTGGAGAAAGGGAGGTAAAAGGTATGAAGTGCTCACATACGTTCAGAGCCAGGTGCCAAGAAGCAATTGCACTCTACAGTACATACACCCATGGATGCCTATACATAACACGAGGCTGACTTGCAGTAGGAACCCATCCGATTGTGTGATTCCTGTCCGTGGTTGTTAGCCAATTGTTGGCCAATCGGTGGGTCAACTTATCGCAGCTCCGATACCGGTAGCGCATCTCTCCCGGCGACCACGGCTCACGGCTCACATTGCACTCTACAACTTCTCGACAATGTATATTGACAAGCATGCAAGCATCTAATGACCAAAATCTCCGGCTTGGACCCAGTCCTTTGCTATGATCTCTACCCAATTCGACGTCCTTCGACGCTCGCTTAGACCTGCCTTGACCTACCCTATAGGGATATCTTACCTATCATTTGCCGACCCGCGCGCTACTCCACTCCAACCACGCGATAAGACTGGGCCATCCGTCTTGGACTTCACAAACCCACGCCCCAGGACCTTTTCCACCTTCCTCATTGCGATAGTAGACCATGCTGTTGACGTACGTAAGGATGCATGTACCTAAGAATGTGCACCTAGGCACCATGGCGTGTCGGCCCAGTTAGACACGCCTGCTTCACGCTTATCTCTCGTCTCCAACGGGTCAGATGCACTGCTTTTGATTTGCTAGCTGGGTGATCCTGCTAGATGATCCAGTCCCACGTATTGCCCGACATGGGGGATCCGACGAAAGGATTAGTCGGGATAGAGCCCTGACTCTATTCGTGTGGGATGGAGATCATGAAGCTGAGCAGCCACCGGTACTTGGCATACGCATGCCATTAGCGTTTGTATAAAAGGGCTTTGTGAGCCCTTTGAAGTACGAAGTGCGACTCTTTCCCGCCTTTCCATCACGGTACCAAGCAGGCAAGATGGGCTTCTTCCGATTACTGGCTATCGCGACACTCGTCACCAGTTGCGTCCAGGCTGCGGTCTCAACAACAGGCTTTACGGTCACACTTGGAGACATCGATTACTTCTTGCCCCCTAAGCCTGTGGCAAGCATCACGGGTTGCAATGAAATTGAGGCATTGTTCAACGATGCCATGTTTGTACCGATCACCGTTGCATCGAACGAGACACAGGTAGCATCCTATGGCGAGAAGGACGATGTTTGGCAGGAAGGCTTTCTTGAAGGTGCGTATCACCGTCACGATTTTAAATGATATTCTAACAATTTACAGCCATGTTTATCCAAGGAGACAGTAAACCATTCGATTCTTCCAGCACGATCCTTTCAGGCACTGCCTCACGTGAATTGCCATCCGGTCCATACTTCATGACCGCTGCCGGTCATGTCTACGAGGCTTGGAGGCTGTTTCCTGATGTTCAAGGAGCATTCACAGAGTCGGTCACTGCCAACGGTGACGGTTCGTACTCGGTACTTCCAGCAGGCGTGCAAGGGCAGAACCAGGCCATCGCTGTCCCATCTCGTCTTTATTTCACGAAGACGATAGAGAGACCATTGGCTGGAGTGCGCATTGGTATCAAAGACATATACGATATCAACGGTTTGCGTACCTCGAACGGAAATCGTGCCTGGTATTGGCTGTATCCTCCCGCCAACAACACGGCGCCGCCCGTACAGAACCTTATCGATGCTGGTGCTATTATTATAGGCAAGATGATCACTTCGCAATTTGCAAACGGCGAGACGGCTACTGCCGACTGGGTCGACTACCACGCAGCATTTAATCCTCGTGGTGATGGGTACCAGGATACTTCATCCAGCTCTTCAGGTGGTGGTGCTGGTACTGCTGCATATCCTTGGCTCGATGTCTCCCTCGGATCTGATACTGGAGGTTCGGTCCGTGGACCCTCCCAAGTTCAAGGGCTTTACGGCAACAGACCTTCTCATGGACTCGTTTCTCTGGAATACACCATGCCCCTCAGCCCGGTATTCGACACCCCTGGATTGTTGGCCCGTAACCCGATTCTCTGGAAGGACGCGGCGCAAGCCATGTATGGAGTGAACATGACCGTAACTAAGACTTACCCTACTAGCATTAAAACTCTCGCTTGGCCTACCACAGCAAGCGATGCAGCCACGGAACTCCTGGTAGACTTCTTGGGCAACGTGACCAACTTCCTAAGTGCGAATTTCACCGCCTTTAACGTCACAGAGTCCTTTAGCACGGATAATCCGCATCTAAGCAATCTAGACACCCTGATGAACTTGACTTATGCCATCCTCATCACCAAGCAACAAGTCGAGCTCGTCCGTGAACCGTTTTACGTCGATTATGCGCAGAGACATGATGGCCGTCTGCCGTTTGTCAATCCTGTACCTCTGGCACGATGGGCATGGGGCGACAACCAAACAAACACCATCGATGAAGCCGTTAGCAACAAGACCATCTTTATGAATTGGGCGAACGAGACATTCCTTGCCCCGTCCGCTGAAACATGCTCGCAGAGTCTGGTCATGTATGGTACTGCCGGTCGCACATTGTACCGCAATACGTACTTGAGTCCCCCTGGTGTACCTTTTGGCTGGAGCAACAGCCGCATCTCGATCATGGCCGAGGTACCGGATTTCGTGGTCCCGATCGGTGAGGCGCCGTACAATTCGAGTATTACGGGGCATGTCGAGTATCTACCTATATCGGCGAATTTTTTGGCGGCCAAGGGGTGTGATGGCATGCTGTTTTCGCTTATCGAGGATTTGTATGAGGCAGAGATTTTGAAGGAGAGTTTGGTGGGGAGAAGTGGGTTGACAGGGGGTGATATCTTGCTAAGGCGAGAGCTTCTGGAGTATTGATGATAGGTTATACCGGTATGCCACTAACTATAATGTATATGAATTTAGACAGGACCAAACAGAGACATTGACGAAATATGATATTCAGGATTACTACGTTAGATGTCCATACACAAAGCTTCATCACATGGAGTCAGTATAGTTGGAGACAACTTTCTGACGTCATATTCAAGACGCGTCCTGAATACGCGTTGAGGTCGCGACCATGTAAAGCTATTGCAGCTCACTGGATCTGGGAAAGGAGAGGTTCGTGGACGTTAGCATCACTACAGTTACCACGGTTGAATCGATGGTCTTGATGACTTAAGCATATCAGACTAAAGAAGCATCCCTGAATGCCATAGGTTTGTACTCTAGAAGCACTAGCGTCTCCGCCGACGCGCCAAGACGTCTCTACCACACTATTCTGCCTCTCTACTTTACATCCCTACGCTTCAAGCCACCCGCGCAACGACAACCCCGACGCGTCAATCCGGCCATCGATCAATCATTGACCTTCCTCTCGAAATCGCCACTACGACCACACGCGAACATAGCGACAACGAATTATACGCGACTAGACGCGGCGAACGACGAAACGGGCATTATGGCGCGCAAGAGCGCTGTTGAATCTGATGGCGAAGCCTCGGCGCATTCCGACGTGGAGATGCAGGATCAGCAGGATGACAAGATGAACGGCTTCAAGAAGTTTGGGGTAAGTATGCCTCTACCTGCGCCTTCCCTCTACCTCAGCAAGAGCAAGGGAGCGGGTGCATTGTATCCATTCACCGGATGGTCTGCTGACATTATAGACACAGTATAACTTAGATACACCAGACTATACTGTACGAATAAAGCGGCCCCTTTCTGTTGGGTCATGCTGCGCACATACTAATGACTGAAAAAGGACTCTGACACAAATCCAAACACGACAGCAAGCAGTGTCGCAGGCGACCATGGGCATCAAGACGGTCGCAAGCGACGCGCTGAAGTGATGAACATGCGAAAGAGCATCTACGGCAAGAAGCACGATCGTCTGGGCGCGTCCAAGGAAGACGATACCATTCGGCGCTTCCGTTACCTCCTTGGCCTCACTGACCTCTTCCGTCACTTCATCGATACCAACCCCAACCCACGCATCAAGGAAATTCTCGCAGAGATTGATCGCCAAGACGCGGAAGAGGTCAAGAAGTCGAAAGCAAGCAAGGTGCGCAAAGGTGGTGCGGCCGCAGAACGCAGGCGCAAGACAGAACAAGAGGAGGACGCCGAGTTGGTGCGCGAAGAGAAGCATGGTGGGCACAACGAGACCGTCTTTCGCGAGTCACCAGGCTTCATCAAGGGCGGCACCATGCGCGATTACCAAGTTGCAGGTCTCAACTGGCTGATTTCTCTGCATGAGAACGGTATCTCGGGAATTCTCGCCGATGAGATGGGTCTCGGAAAGACGCTGCAGACGATTTCCTTCCTCGGTTACCTGCGCTTTATTGCAGGCATAACTGGTCCACATCTTGTCGCCGTTCCAAAATCAACGCTCGACAACTGGAAGCGTGAATTTGGAAAGTGGTGCCCAGAAATCAACGTCCTGGTCCTTCAGGGAAACAAGGACGACCGTGCCGAGCTCATCAAGGATCGACTGGTTGACGAAAAATTCGACGTTTGCATTACCTCATACGAGATGATTCTACGAGAGAAGACACACTTGAAGAAGTTTGCATGGGAGTACATCATCATCGATGAGGCGCATCGCATCAAGAACGAAGAGTCGTCACTTGCACAGATGGTCCGCGTGTTCAATTCAAGAAGCAGGCTGCTCATCACTGGTACTCCTCTTCAAAACAATTTGCATGAGCTATGGGCACTTCTCAACTTCTTACTTCCCGACGTTTTCGGAGACTCTGCCGCTTTCGACGACTGGTTCTCGCAACAAAATGCTGACTCTGACGCTGTCGTTCAACAGCTACACAAGGTTTTGCGACCCTTTTTGCTTCGGCGTGTCAAGGCCGATGTGGAAAAGTCACTTCTGCCCAAAAAGGAAATCAATTTGTACGTTGGCATGTCTGACATGCAAGTGCAATGGTACAAAAAGATTCTCGAGAAAGACATCGATGCTGTCAATGGCGGTGCTGGCACTAAGGAATCGAAGACACGATTGCTTAATATTGTTATGCAACTGCGAAAGTGCTGTAACCACCCTTATCTGTTCGAAGGTGCAGAGCCAGGTCCGCCGTACACTACAGATGAGCATCTGGTTACAAACGCTGCCAAGATGGTCATGCTTGACAAGCTACTCAAGCGTATGAAGGCCAAGGGCAGCAGAGTACTCATCTTCTCCCAGATGAGTCGAGTGCTGGACATCATGGAGGATTATTCGGTAATGCGAGGCTATCAGTACTGCCGTATCGACGGATCGACCGCCCACGAAGATCGTATCCAGGCCATCGATGATTACAACAAGGAGGGCTCCGAAAAATTTCTATTCTTGCTGACCACACGCGCCGGCGGCTTGGGTATCAACTTGACCACTGCCGACGTTGTTGTACTCTTCGACAGTGATTGGAATCCCCAGGCCGATCTTCAAGCTATGGACCGTGCTCATCGTATTGGCCAGACCAAGCAGGTGTACGTGTTCCGTTTCGTGACGGAGAGTGCGATCGAAGAGAAGGTTCTCGAGCGCGCAGCCCAAAAGCTGCGTCTTGACCAGCTTGTCATCCAGCAAGGACGCACACAGCAACCTGTAAAGAATGCTGCTTCGAAGGATGAACTCCTGACTATGATTCAACATGGTGCTGAAAAGGTTTTCAACAGCAAGGGTGCACTGGGTCCTGCCGGTGATGGAGAATTCGCGGATGACGAGTTCGACGAAGTCATGAAGCGTGGTGAGGAGATGACTGAGAAGCTCAACAAGCGCTACGAGGCACTTGGTCTTGATGATCTACAGAAGTTCACATCTGACTCGACTTATGAGTGGAATGGTGAGACATTCCAGCCTCGCAAGAAGGAGATTGGCATCTCATGGATCAACCCATCGAAGCGCGAACGCAAGGAGCAAAACTATGGCATCGACTCATACTACCGCAAGGCCCTCGTCACTGGAGGACGAACTGAAAGCAAGCAGCCTAGGATCCCAAGGGCACCCAAGCAAATCGTCATTCACGATTATCAATTCTTCCCCGAGCGATTGGCGGAGCTCCAAGACAAGGAGACGGCATGGTATCGAAAGGAAAATGGCCTCAAGGCTCCACTCCCGGATGGGCCTGATGAAGATCTCGAAGCTCGCGAGGCTGATCAAGAGCTTGCACAGAAGGAGATTGACAATGCCGAACCCCTCACAGAAGAGGAGAAGGCGGAGAAGGAACGCTTGATTGAGAAAGGTTTCCCCGAGTGGAACAAGCGTGATTTCCAACAGTTCCTCAACGGGACTGCCAAGTACGGCCGCACAAACTACGAAGGCATCTCGGAAGAAGTCGACGGCAAAGATGCGGATGAAATTGCCGCCTACGCCAAAGTGTTCTGGAAGAAGTACAAGACACTGGAACAATGGCAAAAGCACATTGGCGTGATCGAAGAGGGTGAACAGCGCGTTCGCCAATCTGAAATCCGCAAAAACCTCATCGCGAAGAAGGTTGGCATGTACCGCATGCCTCTCCAGCAAATGCAGATCAAATACACAGTTTCGACAACGAATAAGAAAGTGTACACGGAGGAGGAAGATAAGTTCCTCGTCGTCATGTTGCACAAGCATGGGGTCGAGGGCGACATGATCTACGAAAAGATTCGAGATGAAATTCGAGAATCCCCACTCTTCCGCTTCGACTGGTTTTTCCTGAGCCGCACGCCCCAGGAGATTGGCCGACGATGCACGACGCTCATCACGGCCATTGTGCGGGAGTTGGGCGACGCGGATGCGCAGACTGGCAAGGGCGGCAAGCGTGTGTATGAAGAGGAGACAGAGGAGGACGAGGATGAGGAGCCGGTTAAGAAGAAGGCAAAGAATGGGGTCAAGGTATGTTCATGATCAAACAGGATTTTACTGAGTGTGATTGCTGATGCGGGACAGAACAAGCAGCTGGATGTGGTAAAGGCCAAGGCGTCGCCGGCGTCGACGTCTCCCTCGAGGGCTAGCAGTGTTGCTTCGAGCGGGTCGGCGAAGAAGGCAAAGGGTAAGAAGAAGTGAGTGCGGAGTGCAAGGATAGTGAGAAGGGCTGGCTGGCATGAACATGGTGTTTTTTTGGCGTTTTTTGGCGTTTTTTTTTTTTTTTGCAAGAAGTTATATCCAGTGTATACACCTATCTAGACTCCTGAAAAAGGTGTGATGCTTGATGAGACTGGCATATCATTTTTGCCTCTGAAATTCTCAATTTTCGGACAAGGGATCCAAGTATGTGTTTTTTTTCCTTTTCGTTATCAAGCTTTGTTTGCATTCCAGCAAGCTTTAGGGCATGTAATCTCAAGAAAGTCTCGTTTTGGCCGTTGTCCCAGGTTTTCCCACTGTGCGCTGAGTTCAGACGGAAATTGGCCTCTTCGCTCAATCGGGAAGGTGGCGGTGTTTGTGTTTTGGGGGGATGGTGGGGTCACGGGTGATGACGCGCCTGCCGGGGTTCCAACATTTCGACTTCAACTTGTGCGCACAGTGGGCAAACGACACAGATTACGTGCTGATTTTGTGGATTCGAGAGTCGCAAGCCTGGTTGATTGTGCACGGAACTGGAGTGCGGTACAGAGCGCCTGAAGGTATCAAGGTATGTGTGTGCATGTCCCTGTTGGAAGCTTCGCGAAGCTTCCGCATACTGGCAGATCTTGACCGACATTCAGGAAATTCACATTGTAGAGACAGAGAAGTCGGCCAGTCTCCACTGTCCAGCCACCATTTGCCGAATTTGATCACACTCGACCGATTCGACACTACAGCGGACATTCAAAATGGCATCCACGGCGCTCATTGACGCGGATATGGAGCCCACACTCCAGTCCATTCTCGATCAGAAGACGCTGCGCTGGATATTTGTGGGTGGCAAGGGTGGTGTGGGAAAGACGACGACATCGTGTTCGCTCGCGATACAACTGGCAAAACACCGCAAGTCCGTCCTCCTCATCTCGACGGACCCCGCGCACAACCTGTCAGACGCGTTCAATCAGAAGTTTGGCAAAGATGCCCGGCTCATCGAGGGCTTCGACAACCTCAGCGCCATGGAGATTGACCCGAATGGCAGTATACAAGACTTGCTGGCAAGTGGTGCAGAGGGGGGAGAGGATCCCATGGCGGGACTCGGAGGCATGGGCAACATGATGCAGGATTTGGCCTTTAGCATCCCCGGTGTAGACGAAGCCATGTCCTTTGCCGAGGTGCTCAAGCAAGTCAAGTCCATGTCGTACGAAGTCATCATCTTCGACACGGCGCCTACTGGCCACACGCTGCGCTTCCTACAATTTCCCACCGTCATGGAGAAGGCGCTCTCCAAGGTCTCGCAGCTCTCTCGTCAGTTCGGCCCCATGCTCAACACCTTCCTTGGCTCGTCGGGTAGATTACCGAACGGGCAGAATATGGATGAGCTGATTGAGAAGATGGAGGCGCTCAGGGAGACCATTGCCGAAGTCAATGGGCAGTTCAAGGATGCAGATCTGACGACGTTTGTCTGTGTCTGCATCCCAGAGTTCTTGAGCTTGTACGAGACGGAGCGCATGATTCAAGAACTCAACAGCTACGAGATTGACACGCACTCCATTGTCGTGAACCAACTGCTCTTCCCCAAGCAAGACAACCCGTGTGAGCAGTGCAATGCGCGACGGAAGATGCAGAAGAAGTATCTTGACCAGATTGAGGAACTGTACGACGAGTTCAATGTGGTCAAGATGCCTTTATTGGTCGAGGAAGTGCGGGGCAAAGAGAGGTTGGAAAAGTGAGTCTTCCCTTTGATGTGCGCATCGGTACTACCGTCCGATGCTGACCAACATTGCAGGTTCAGCGAGATGCTCGTGAAGCCGTTTGTCCCTCCGCAGTAAGAATAAGCCTCGGCCTGTCCACCCGATGGCGCGAGCATGGGTCCGTGGTGTATTGGAGTACGCATTCCAAGGTCGCGGTGTCGAGAGATGCACTGCAACGTCCTCGATCCCAGAGGGATATGAAGAGGTGTGGCAGGGAAGAGATGCCTGCACATTCTAGCACCCGACACCAGGCCTTCTCCGCATTTTCCGCCCAAAAGCAGGCTTAGGGCATCCGCCCTGTCGACCACCCAGGCCATTTCTGTCTCGTTTTGTTGGTCAAGTGGACTTGGTGGACCTTTTTTCTTTTTTAGAAGCCTCGGTAGTTTTTTTTTTTTTTTTTGATTTTGGTTTGCGGGAAATATCTTGACACGATGGGAATACATCCGCCCGGATCGCAACGGGACAAGACGTTAGGACTAGACCTGTTCTTTGCTTTGTGCCCGTTGCCAGCTGACATTTTGGCATCGTTTGTCGTCGCCGTCGTCGCAGCGTTCTTACCGCTGCGACTGCTTGCGCGAACTTGTGTTGTGAATCATGGGTGTATCATGTGTGTATGTATGTATGTATGCATGTGCCGTACCTATTACACTGGTTTTGACACTGGGAGTCCAATCATGCCCCCGCCGTGCCTAATCGGAAACCACGACTTTATTTCTCCCGCCGTCAGTGCGCATCGTGTCGTGTCGTGTCGTGTCGTGTCGTGTCCAGACAAACAGGCATGTGTACCTACATGTGCGGCAAGTTTAGTGCAAGACATTGGCCATCTAGGTTTCCGTACCGGTACCGGGTTCCCCGCATACTGTAAACACTGTCCACCGTGCATTCTACACACGTGGTCTGCTGGGGCCACGCAAGCACATCCCAGCTTCTTAGTCCGCTTGGGGACTCGACTCGCCGCATCGAGGTGCTGGGCTTGGGCATGCGGGCTTATGCAGGGTATGGTTTGGCGGGGCTGCGTGGGTTTGGGTATGGTATGGTACTTTGTATCTACCTGCGAGTAAGTGAATGGGGACGGGGAGGGATGGCGGGGCGGGCTGGGAGCTGGACGTTGAATGGTGGATACCGGTACCGGTACCACTCAGTCGACACTCAATACCTACTCGACATTCAATACTCGTGCGCGCAGCTTACACATAGCGGTACAAGTCGCCCGCAATCTCACGGTTTGTCTGGGCGTCTACATACAAACATGGCATGGCTCTCTTCAACACACTGGAGCTTTGCCACGTTGCCGTGATCCGATCCCATCTAACATCCCTGTCGGACTTTGGGCGAATAAGATGAGCCATCTCTAGTTCATACTCCATTCTGATTCGTCCGGCTTCACGACAAGGATACCTCAATCACCCCAACATCCACCAGCCGGGTCCTGTGCATGCTCCACTAGGAATTCAAGATCTGGCGGGCACATTCCCACACATCCTACGCACACTCTCGGCCCCGGCCGGAAAGAAGAGAAATTAGTAATGGTGGAGATGGCCAAACTTGAGCAATCCTAACACTCCTACAGTGATCTTTCTAAATATTTTCTGACAGAATACATCCTCTAACACAAGACAGCCTCTTGACAGGAAACCAGAGCCTTGGCTTTGTCGAGGCGGCGTGGGCAAGTCAATCTTTGGTGTTTGTGAGTTGATCGTTGATATTTGTGAGTTGATCGTTGATATCTCATCTTCCGGACTGCGCTAGAGACAGACATATCTAGTATCTACCGGTACAAGATCACCAAAACTCGGGCTATGCTGCCGGCTAGAATTCCATGGCCAAGCTTCCTGAACAACCTCCCCGTTTCGGTCGTTCCACCGCGTTCCCGACTAGATACCACGACTCGCTTCGACTCTGTACAGCTCATGGGTCATTTTTGGCATCGTAGCCTTGTCCCTTTTACCCCGTACCCGCGACTGCAGCGGCCAAGTATCTGTTCTGGGTAAGTTCGCGGCTGATGAACCTAGCGATGCCTGCCTTTTTGCATTCTACCAGCCTGGTGGCAGCCTGGCAGGTGTGTGTGGACCTGGGTCTACCGGGCTTTTGCAATGGTTTGCGTGCCCTTGTGGTGGTGGTCAGCACCAGTGCAGTAGGAATGCAGTCGGGATGGGTATAAAGTCCTCTAGAGGGCGCGCGGTAGCTGGAGAGCCAGATTGTGTGTGTCTGCCCTCGTCTTTCTCCCCTTCTTCTCTTTTCTTTTCCTCCGGTCTTTCAAACGTCAACCGGCAAACCGGTATCTTGAAAAGATCAAGTCTGGGTGAAAGCAACATGCCTTCCCTCATCAAACTCGGAGCGCTGCTCCTTTGTGCAGTTCACTCTGTCACCTCAGTGCCATTCGAAATTGAGAAGAGAGGTACGATGGAATCAATGGTGTGCTATTTTACTCTGTTCCTAATTAGCATCGTAGCCGTCTCTGCCAGTATCCTCGACCGACTGCAGTTGTTTGCCCAGTGGTCAGCGGCATCTTACTGCCTGGCCAACAACAACAGCCCCAATACGAAAATCACCTGTCCCCAAGGAAACTGTGCTCGCGTGGAAAGTGCGAATACAAACACCCTGACTGAGTTTGAAAAGTACGTCCTAGATCCATCTTCCCTCGACAAAACACCATAGCCACACCATCTCCACCCACCCCACCCAACCTAACAAACCCCCAGCTCCCGCCGCTCCGACATCACCGGCTTCATCGCCACAGACAGCACAAACCGACTCATCGTCCTCTCCTTCCGTGGCTCCCGCTCCGTCCGCAACTGGATCACAAACGCCCAATTCTTGACCACATCCACCACAATCTGCCCCTCCTGCGCCGCCTCCACCGGCTTCTGGAACTCCTACCGCGAAGCCGAAGCCAACGTCATCGCCACCATGACCGCCGCACGCACCCAATTCCCCAGCTACCGCATCGTCGCAACAGGCCACTCCCTCGGCGGCGCCCTCGCCTCCCTCGCCGCCGGCTCCCTCCGCCAACGCGGCTTCACAGTCGACCTGTACACATACGGGGCCCCGAAAATCGGCCAGGAATCCCTCGCCCAATTCCTCACCAACACCTCCAACGGAAACTCCTTCCGCGTCACCAAACGCTCCGACCCTGTACCCAAGCTGCCGCCCACGGGCCTCGGCTACAGGCACATGAGCCCAGAGTACTACATTACCGCGGGCAATGGCGTTGCTCCTACCACGGCGAATATTCAGGTTCTCCAGGGAACGATGAATCTTGGGGGGAATGAAGGTGATTGTGGGTTTGATGTTGCCTCGCATTTGGATTATTTTGGCAATATTAGCGCTTGTGAGGGAGCCGAGGGGATTGAGATTTAGACTGGTGGGATTTGGGCAAGTCAAGTCAGCATCTCTTCTTTTTGAAAAGGGTGTGAGTGTGGGGTGGGAAGGATTGGGGTCCAGAATTCAAGTGTGGTTGTACAGTTTTTCGCATCGAGGACCTTTTTCCCCCCCTTCTTTTCTTTCTTTTTGTTGCTTTTTGAGATTATTTTTTTCCTTGATTATTTCTTCTTCTTCTTCTTCTTCTTCTTGTAAATAGAAACAGATAGGGAAAAGGGGGGATGGAGTCGAAATCTTCAATTCCAATGGATTTCAATGCTTACTTTGACATATCATGCCATGACCCCGGTCGTGAACAAAACCTTGACTCCAACTCCACAGTGCCAAAAAAACAAATTAAACAAAAGTACCCATGGATGTATGCAAGAACGCACAGCAGGTACGAGGATGTAATGCTGGTGACGAAAAACAAGCGCCAACAATTTCTCCACGGGACAGAAAAGAATAGTGTTGCTTCAGCGTCCGATGTGAGAGGAGAATATAATATGGAATACTTTTGATCAAGGAGAGCGAATGCTTAACCTCCTTTCCAACTGTGGAAAAACTTTCTCGGTAGAATCCAGCAAAGACAAAGACAATGCAAATACGCGTATACACCAGGATTTCCCCCCTTTTTTTTTGCAGAGAAAAAAAAAAGTACGGTACATGCAGACACCCAGACCAAGCGAGCCCGGTTACGTCCGGTGAAATCAAAGTCTATCCTCGCTACCGGTACGCCATGCCGTGCTATGAAGCATAAACGAGGAAGCTATATGAATAAATTGGCTAGTACAACTGTACATGCAACTGTAAGTTGTGCCCCTGATGTACCATCATGGTACGCCTCTCAGCGAGCGCCACACCACCGCTCACACAATACGGTCCGCGCACAGCACCTCTTCAGCCCCCCATCAAACCGCCCCTTTCCTCCCCAACACAACACCAACTCTACTCGCACCGCCCGACGCCCGCTCCTTGCCCGGTATAGAGCAGGTCCGCGCCCTATCCCGCGCCCGGCCCACTTTCCCGCGCGTCTTGTGTGGAGCGGGAGTATGCGCACTCGGGGTGGCGGGACCGCTGATGGCGTGTTTGGAGTGGCTTAGGCCAAACGACGGTTTTACTGTTTCTGCGGTGTGTCTTGGGGTCTTTGGAGACGGCTTTTTGGGCTCGTGGGGGGGTTTGGTGGGGGAGGGGGAA